ATCTATTCATACTCACAGCAATCTTTACTCCTAGCCAGGTAAAATATGTCAAACTGTTTGTAGAAGTAAGTTTGAAACGCTTTTCAGATTATTTTCTATTCTTTCTAATCTAAAACTCACTACAGTAACCCATTCTTTATCCTCTCGTATCTTCCTCGCTTAGCTTCCACATTCCATCTTCTGTTTACATTTTTTTGAATCTTGTTTCACACAGGCAGCTCTTTCTATTTGTCGCCTGTCTGGCGGCATTTCTTCACCGACCAGGAAGGACTCAGTTCCTTCTTGTCAAGGGATGAACCCAATTCTGTCCACATAAGCAGCTTTTTCTTATTCGGGGTCTTGGCCTCTGTCTTGCTTCGTCAGGATATCGAACCCCAGGGACTTCTTTTCGATTCACATCAACTCACACCTCTATTGCCCCGACGCCACGTCCTCTTTATCAAACTTCAGATTCGCCCCCATCTACTTCATAGTCTTCGTGATGCTCACTTCTCTGCTTCGAAGGCCCAAACGCTCGCTGACGAGAACTAACACCACCGTTCGCTGCTTCCCTCTTTTTTATGAATTTCTTTGATTCACAAAGTTTGTTCATTTACTGCTTCAACATCGCAGCACACTTAACATTATAAGATCAGCCAAAATTCCTATTCTTGCTTGGCTCATAAAGTGCAGTCATATTGTAAATTTGCTCCTCCACACGGCCCAATCTTTTCCCCGACCGGATCGAACTTTCGATGGATATGCTGACTACAAAATCAAAGAAATTTGAAGCTTACCAAAATTTGTTCGGAATAAACCATTCCTGGCTTTCGCCATTTTCGCAGTAATCGGATTTGTCGGCAGTTCGAGCGCTCATTTTAACATATGTGTTGTTCGCCAACTGATGTCCAAAGGGCACATAAAGAAGACCTGAAATTATCGCCCCTAACCGCAAGTCAGAACCAATTCAGTACAGTGTATACAAAGAATAACAAGACAGGTATATACAGGGCTGAAGGATGCGCAGGAAAATAAAATCAAAGTTTGTTCTTCATCCATGTTGTTCCAATAATACGCTTTTTTTTGCATATTTGCATTTTCTGTATGTTTAGCTGCTCGACTTTAGAGGATTACCAACCGCTGGTTAGGCTGACATTGATTTTGCACCAGACAAATTCAGTCGGAAAAAACACAGCGCAGCGTCTTCTTGAAATGCTAGGAGATTCCAGGGTTGTATTTCGCCGTGCCTTAGTACTGCCTGCTCCTTTGCCACTCTCATATCACGATTAAGTGTTTGGATCGGGATTTTGGTGAAGAATACAGTGTATGTTGCATATTAAATAAACTGGTACTAGAAAACAAAAAAGTCTATGGCCTGGAAAAGAGAATTTTACCCTGTGAAAGTTTAGCGTAGCCTGGCAATACAACGTTTGGTGCGCTCTTCAAGCAAGACGGCTTCTTTTGCTCATCATAAAGCTCAACAACAAGATTTTTCAGAATTACTGGTAGAGGTGGTTTTTCTTCTGAAATATGTTTTTGTAGAATAATATTTAACTTTTCCACCCATTAAGGTTTGGCTCTGCGGTTACAAAAAGAAAACAGATGTTTGTTTTTGCAAAATCTGGGAGTCAATCTTAGACAGCAGGCTCCATACACTACCTGAGATTTTGAACATTGGCTGCTGTAGTTGCGCAGCTGAAATATATGATCAAACAGGCAAAAGAACAGGTACGTGGGCCAATCTTTAAAGGTTTTTGCACAGATGAAAAAAAAAAAACAAGAACTATTTCATCGTTTATTTCTTCATGCCTCTTTGATACGTAATTACATGTAAAAAGAAAGTAGAAAAAAAGGCTGCTTCCCAATGAAGAAATCTCGTGCAAATGCACCTGCCTGGTAGACTTTCCACGAAGAATTTGTTATTTATGCCATCAATACAGCGATCGTCGGCTTGCACGACAATGAACCGTGAAAGTGGTAATATGCTGGGAAAAACAAACGAAAAAAGGTAATGCTGCATGGAATGGCAACAGGTAGGATGTGGTGTTTGATGACGATGTACGTGCGCGCACTGAAGCAAGCGCTTCCCGCATGCTTACACCCGAAAAACTGGTATTGAGAAATTTGAGGTTAAAGACCATTACTATTGTTTAATTAATTGCTCATAGCGTTCTGGCTTGATGATAATTGATGAGTACGTTGAGTGCCTACTGGGAGATTTAGCTCCGAAAGTTTCTAGCATGCCGAGCTGAGGTGCTATATATTACTGCGAGTGGTTTCAGGTAACACGAATTGCTAGAAGCATAATTGAAGCAGTGGCAGTTATTTAATTTATTTTACACCTTATCTTGTTTTCCCTTCTTTCCCTTCTCCTAATATACATATATGTGTTTTTTAACTATTCATCTTTAGTTGACCTTAATATATAGCTAATATATATTGGAAATGCATAGATAGTTTGTGATAGTATATTGACAAGGCTTTACCACAACTTGGCGTTCCCCAGAAAGCCGGAATGGGAACACCTTGAAGCACAACAGCTTCTCTCGAAGTTTCAGTTTTTACACTATTTTGTCCTGCTTTCTTTTCTTTTAACTATTACTATTGTTATTACTATTAGTGCTATTATAAATAATATGGTTTTGTATCGTTAATACTTCTTTGCTTTTGCTTTTTCCCTCCATAACAGCGTTTACGGAGTTTTCTATTATGTTTCACTGTAATTGATCAGTAAAAGACGAGTGGCTTAGGACAGGAATATACAAAAAGTGAACTTGGGCCTCCCTTGTTGCTCGGTGCTTCAGTGTCACGCATTTTGTCGGTTTGTGTGTTAAGTCCAATTTCACCAATTGCGATAAAGCACAATTTCAAAACTGAAAATGATAAAACTGACAATTTCGAAATTTCAGATTACTTTCAGGCGCCAAGCTAGGTGGGCAGTGAACAAATTTTTCAGTTCCCTTCGAAGCCGTTGCACGTACAACAACTGTGAGGGGCGATATGTCGAATTGAGGACTTGACCTTTGGCAGGCTTTTAATTTCAGCTTTCTACCTTCATTGGAGCTGCATCAGTGGGTAAACTGGAGAGAAATCTGCATGCAGTTCATTCAAATCCACATGCTTTGTGCTTCACAAATTATTTCATTTGTGTTTGTAGATCCGACTAACTGTTCGAAGCATTTGATAAATTATTTTTTAAACTGAATATCATATGACCCCAGAAGCTAAGAAGAAGATCTTTAATTTTTATACCGCCATGATTTAAGGGTATTTTTTATTTAAGTTTCAATTCACCTGCTTTTTCTTCTCTCCAGGAACGCAAAAAAAAAAAAA